CACACTGTAACCCCCCTACCATGTCTATCATATCGCAACCAGCCTCAATAGCTCTGGTGTTGGGTGATAGGCCTCATTGGCACTGGATATAGCAGATATAGTGTGGTTAACATATTATTATACATTTTTTTTACTTTCACTAGGAAGTTCTTATTAATAACTTCCTAATATTTTCAAGAAGTTTTATGCATATCATTTTTTTAACATATACTTTCAAGTCATACTAATATGTGATCCCAAACTGCAGTTTAATTGTATCATCTAAAGCCAAACCCTGCCAAGTCATTTACTCATACATGTTGTGAAACAGTTCTACACTAAAGTCATATGATTTAATTCCTATTCTTGTTTAGTTTTCCCTTTTTAAGTTAGAATAGCTTTAACTCTTACTCTAAGCCTTTAAACTTACCAAGACCTTTGTATTAGATAAAGATGTAATGTTATATACAGGAGTCAGTGTTTGGCTACTCTAAAATTCTAATTTCTTCAGTTATTAATATTTCCTCTTTTTTAATTTTCAAGCTATATTACCTAAACAAAGCCCTTTTCTGTCTTTAAAGTTTTGCATCAATAACACTTGGAGATAGGCTTGTGAGACCAGTTTCCTTTATTTGTTAATTTTGTAGTATGTTAATCTGTGTGATTGCTATCACGAAAGTTGAAAACTTTATACTTTGGTCCGATGAGCAAACATAACATTATTCTTACAACAACATACCTTTTCTTTCAGCCAGTGAAATGTAGCTTTTGTTTAACGAGTTCTAAAAATATTTAGCTGCTGCATAGTGGCTCACAGAATGGCTCTGATTATTTTTTCAAGTACAAACTTTTAGCTGATAGCTCCATCTCTTGACTGATGCGAGATGTAATTACAGCCATGGGTTTTGATGATTCCTTCTTGTTTTTATTGTTTTAGCTTTTTTGGTGAGAGGGGGTTGATATATGCTAATTACCTTTTGTCTGATTTTATATATTTTTTTATTTTTGAGACACGAATTTAAGTACTTATGGCTTAAATAATAGAAATCCAAAGGGTGTCTGTAACATTTCAAGAAATATATACAAAAATTAAGCTACAACAACAAAGGTACTGTAGTAGAATTGGTTTTATGCATATCATACTTTTCTAAATAATGATATTTTTCCATTTTATGCTATTACTCAAGACAGACTTTTTTATGTAGTAGTTTTAGAGTTTTGTATTCATTCTGATTAAGAAAGTATTTCTATAGTAAGACAGCATTTTCTCAAGATATAATTATTTTTTTTAGGTGAAAATAGCTTACACATTCTGTGCAAATGCCATGAAAAGAATAAGAGAAAATGTGAAAGACTTAGAAGAAGGTTTGTCATGACTATTTTAGCTTATTATGCATTTTAGTTTCAAAACATTTTATGTATTTTTAATAACTTGAATACTCAGTGTGGTGTGCAAAACAATTCTAAGTTATTCATTAGATGATCCTGTGGTTAGAATTTAGAAATTATCAGTAAAAATATGGTAGGTTTGGTTTCATTGTACATAAAAACAAGTGAGACAGAATGGCTTGTGTGTTTCTACCCATTCTAGTTTAAGCTTTTTTAAAACATCTTTCTAACATAAATCAAACTGCATGGATATTTTCATAACTTAAGTCTGAATACTTGTGTGTTGTGATCTTGCATCTTGATAAACTTTTTAGGTATTTTAGATAGATTGTTATGTTTTGACAAGTTTCTCATATATTTAATATACATTACAATTTTTGAGAAGACTTTTCATTTACTTGACATACATTGTTGCATTTTGATATATATTATATCTTGGTAAGCTTCTTATGCATTTGCTGTACATTGTTATGTTATTACTAGCTTTCCAATTGTTCGTTATACATTATTGCATCTTGATAAGTTTCTCAGATGTCTGATTACATTGTTGTGTTTTAAATGAGTTTCTATAATATTAACATTAAATGATCTTGCTTTAAAAAATATCTTAGGTGTTTAAAATACAAGCATATATAGCTAATTTTTTGCCTTTGCATATAAATGTAAAAATAAGAAAAAATTCAAATATACATTTTTACATGGTCACATTTCTTCATTTTAGATTGATGTGATTATATTGGGTCAGTTTTTAGGTATTTTCTGTCTTTCTTGTCGATAATCCAAGAAGTAACAAATAATTGTAATTGATTAACCACTCATCTGTTAAGTAGGGCATTGACAGTGGCAAAAGTAGCACAGGTTCTGAAACTGTTTTGGGTAATGAAAGTCATTCTGATATGTAGATTACTACATTTTATGTTTAGATAAATTTTATAATGAATTAAACTGTTTAAAGTGAGACATAAGTAACAGTCATTTCTGATTTTTAACTGAAGATTTGTGCCATAACCTAATACATTATAATAACTGACTTTGGTTTGAAAAAGTTAGCTTAAAATAAATGGTCTTAACTTGATTAAATTATTCTAACTAATGTAAAGACATAATTTTTTTGGTGTTTAAGATTGATTTTTGTTTTTTAGTTTCAATTTCATCTTAAGTTAGGAAGTGTTAATACACCACTTTTATTTCATCTTTAAAAGGCCTGGCATAGCCTGGTGATTAGGGCACTCAGCTCACAATCAGAGAGTCATGAGTTCAAATCCTTGTCACTGAACATGCTCATCCTTTCAGCTGTGAGGTCATTATAATGTGATGGTCAATCCCATTATTTATTGGTAAAAAGAGTAGCCCAAGAGCTGGCAGTGGGTGGCATTGACTAGCTGCCTTCCCTCTAGACTTTCATTGCTAAAGTAGGAATGTCTAGCACAGATAGCCTTCGTGTAGCATTGTACAAAATTCAAACCCAATGAAACTGTCTTTAGAAATTGAGTTGTATGATGGACACAATTTGTGATCAGTAAAAAAAAGACAAAACGTGAAAGTTAAGGATTATACTAGTATTCAGTTTTCTACAGAGGAAGAAAGTATTTTGTTAGATATTGTAATTCAACTTAAAGTTAGGAGATGTTAAAGTACTCCATCTTAAGTTTGTATATGTACAGGTTTCTATGTAGAAGCTGATCTTCTGTATCAAGAGGTAAGAAATATTCTTAAGTTGGTGTTCTCAATATTTATAATTAATATGTGTTCAATGTTTTCCAGGACCATATATGAATAATGACAGGAATTACCAAGAACTTGCCTCCACCATTTTTAAGAATAGAGGGTATGCAGCAACACACCCACTGACAAGGAACTGGTACTAATAGTTAAAAATAATTTAGGGTTAATTTACAATTGTGATCTTGTTAATACCACATACATAATTAAATTTAACGAGACTGTAGTCACAACTCCAGAACTTCATAGATAAAACTCATGAGAAGAAATTTTCAACAAAGTTTCAGCTGTGGTTGGCTGTGTGTGCTCATATAAATAATGATTTAGAAATGAATCAAAATGTTTTGCATTTTAAATAGTGCTGTATATGGTTTTCAGTTAATTGAAGTAAAAGTAAAATTGATGGTGATTCCTTAAAACATTGGGTTTCCACTTCTTTTTTTTTCTTCATCTGTATTCCTTTACTTTCTTTTTAAGAACTCTTAATTATCAAACATATATAAAGTTCTTGATACTGCTGTTTGTTGGGTTATTACATTTGTTTGGGTACAGAGTTCCACTTCTTTCAGTGAGACATGATCATATACAATATTCAAAGTATATTTTGAATGTTGTACGTGATTGTATCTCGCTATTAGAATTGAAATGTTGTATGGAAAAGAATGTGATACCTTCATCAAAAATTGTTTCAAGAACTTTATATTTCTTGACTTTCTTTAATTTACAATAGTGCTCAAAGTTTGGTTAATTATAATTCAGAATAATTTTTCTGGTAATTTAAAATATATTTTTTCTATCAAGACATTTATATTTGATGAGGAATAATATGTGAAAGAATGGAAAAGAAAGAGATCAAAAGCTTTAGTACTAGAAGCTAAAAATGAACAAAATCAGAAACCATGCTCAAGAGCTGGCAGTTTCATTTATGTCACTATTGGCTTTGCATTTTTTATTGCAGCTCTTTGTGTCAACTTTTCTCTGTGTGCAATCATTATCAGAAACCTAAAACTGTCAGTTGAGAGTAATATGCTTTAAACAAACAGAAATATTTTGAAGTGAACAACCGGGTAAAGTCCTGGTAGTTCAGAGAGGCATGTTGTCAGTATGAGTTGGTCATATTTGAAAATACCTCTATATTGTGTACAAGTAAGTTTGTATTCAGTCAGTCTCATTTGTAAGAAATGTAAAATTATTTGTAATTTTTTTACACAAATCTTGTATGATTTTTTGTGTTGAAATTTTAGAATAAATCATTGATATCATAAATGTTGCTTTCCTGTAAGTATTTCACCAAATAGCAAAAGAGTGGCTTTTTCTTATACTTCCATGTCTCTCTGTATACAAAGTATAGTAGTCTCTTGGGCTACGCTATTATGTTTGACAGTAGCCATTGTCATTGTTTAAAAACATTCAGAAAAATACATTAGTCTCTTAGATTAAGATCTGGTTTAATTCACCTGTATCTGTTTCTTTCTATTTATGTGTTATTGAGATTAAAATGCAACATTGTGAGAGAGTGAACATTTCAGACTTTTTTGAAGTATTTTTCATGACAGTGAAAAAGTATTGCTGACTATTGGAAATACAGAATATTTCTATAACATGTTTATTTAAGTGTTTTCTAGTAATACATTAGCAGTTCATTAAGCTAATTTTTAAAATTGTTAATTCAAACAAATATACATAACCAGGACAGTTGTATCAAAATTAAAAGTTCTAATGCTGCACATTTTATTAATTGAAAGAAGAAAGCTGATACAATTTTCTTTTTTAGTCCAGAAGAGCTTTTAGGATTTTGATTGTTTTTACTTTATTAACTAGATAATAACATTTTAAGAGATCCACTCAACTCAAATATACTTCAATAATGATGCTTTGCATGGGTAGATGAAAAACTATTTTGTGTCTGTGATGTTTCATCTCTCAAAAGCTGGTTACTGGTTACTTCAATAATGATGCTTTGCATGGGTAGATGAAAAACTATTTCGTGCCTGTGATGTTTCATCTCTCAAAAGCTGGTTACTGGTTACTTCAATAATGATGCTTTGCATGGGTAGATGAAAAACTATTTTGTGTCTGTGATGTTTCATCTCTCAAAAGCTGGTTACTGGTTACTTCAATAATGATGCTTTGCATGGGTAGATGAAAAACTATTTTGTGTCTGTGATGTTTCATCTCTCAAAAGCTGGTTACTGGTATTTAATACTAAAATATTATCACACCTTAGTTCCCATTGTATTCTTGTTTTGTTTCTTAGAAATTTCAGAGTATAATCCTTTTATTGCTAAAACTAACTTTGTTATTTTAAATATGTCAAGTCACTGTTCTGTTATTTCATAATATGTGTCCATTTTATGTATATAAACCTTTCATGCTATTAGTTTTTCAAGAAAGAAATGACATTGTCATAACTATTTTCATTTTTTTATTTAAATTTTGTATATTTAAAATACAAACACATTCAGAATGAAAAAAATATAGGTAGTAAATAGCATTTAAGTGCAGTCAGTTATTTCTAGAAGATCTGAGAATTGTTTAAACAGTTACTTATTGAAAAAGAGTAATTGCTTTCTGAAATTTTAATATTTATATGAAATTTCATAGTGTAATCCTTCTTTCCTAAACCTAAAATTTGTTACTTTGAAAGCATCAATTCATATAAGCAAATATATTGATTATTAACAATATAGGAAGTTGAGTTAAAATTGAAGAGGTGATGGATTGGGATGTTTTTTTTTTTTTAAATAAGAAAATTCCATTTGCACCACATAAAAAGAACAATATTATTTTGCACTTTCAAGTCAAACAAAGATCTAAACAATATTATTCTGCACTTTCAAGTGTGGTATCCCACATTCTTAATATAATTTTTTTATTTTAGTTGAAACACATATATATAAAATACATTCCTAAAGCTAATATTTCTTACTTTAAAAATGGCAATTCAACTCATTATTCAAAATATATTGATTATTAGCAATATAAGAAATCAAGTTTCAATAGAAGTGTTAGTTTGGAATGCTTCTTTTGACATCATTCTTTCATCTATGTAACTTCAATGTTACTAGAGGGTAAACTTTCATTTTCAAATAATGTCATTGCAAATACAACTTGATGAGGTTTCGTGTTAACTTCTCTTTTTCTCATGAAGCAGTAAAATGTCTACATCATTAACATATTTATTTCATTTATAATAAAATAAAATATTTTATAAAAAATAAGGAAATATCCTTATGTTGGTATTCATGAACTCTTATATCCAACAAGTATTCAAAGGTATGTACAAAACCTAGTTTCAAGAAAGTTTATGTAGAGAATAAAGTGAACACAGACAGCAAAGAAAAAAGATACACAAGAGCACAGATAAAACTTTCGTTTGCAAAAAAGTCATTGTCAAAACAAAACTGACTGACTTTTCATTTATTCAAACTCAAACTGCCTTCTGAGATAAAGATTTCAATCACGTTTGTACAAAACAAGGACAAAATAAGAATTCCATCTGCATGACACATGGACAGTACAAAGAGGAATGTTATGATGAACTTTAAAGTTATACAAAGGTCTAAGTGTGGTATCCCATGATCAAGTCTATCTCAAGAGGTATCTGTTTGTTGTTAAGCCCAAAGCTATACATTGGTTTATACATGCTATGACCACCACAGGTATTAAAAACAAATTTCTAAAGTTGTAAACCCTTAGTTTTATTGCTTAGCCACCAGGAGGAACTCAAGGGGTAACACAAATACTTTATATGTGAGTTTTCCCCTTGTATTTGTTATTTTGAAAAGTTGTTGATGTAGGTAATTAAAGCTCTGCTCTGATACTGGACCTAGGCACAGAGTCAAACTAATACAAGCTTCTATAGGATAACTAATACTGTATGTAACCTATACACAAGCAAAAGGGCTAAAGCATGTTTACAACTTGTCTATCCAATTAACAAGAATGTTATCAATTTTTTGCATAACATCTACATAAAAATTTAGAAAAATTACATGAATATAAGTTACTACAAATATGCTATTTATTGAAGGATATAATTATCAGTTATTTCTGTAAGGAATGAAACAAATTTGAATTGGGGGTGTGTGGAGCACCTATGACCGAGTGCATCTTATTTGCTATATTGAAATAGACACCTTCTCTGATAATAATACAAAAGTTTATTCTTCAATCAAAGAAGCACTTTGCTACCAGTCAAAAACTGGAAGCATGTGCTCCCTCCCAATTCCATTACTTATGGTTATTTCAATTGTGAAATTTTTAATTATCACCTATAACTTGAAGGTCAAGCTCCATATAAAAATATGACCATCTTCAAAGTAATTGAAATATTTTCTGCTAATTTCTTGTGCAACTTCAAAATTTGTGCAATTATTTTTTAACTTATCACTAATGAAGAATCTAAAATTTATCAATCACACTACTAATTCAGTGAATGAGAAATGAATAATTTGTACTTGGATTTTTAAAAATAATTAAAAATCTTCAATTATATTTGCCTCTTACGTCCCTGCTGTTGTCGATATAAGTAAGGGTGCTTATTTGACAATTAAACTAAGAACAGAAGATATTAAAAGGAAAACTACTTGAAACTGAATAATTGAAAGTAAAGTAGTAGAGGGCTACAGGCAAATTATAACAATTTACTAATTAATGTCTGGAATAAAGAAACCCCTGATAGCAACAACGTCTCCCCTAGTTATTGGGACCTTAAGCACGAATGTTTTTAGACATCACTGAGAACAAAAACTACTAATTTCATTACTTTCACTAGCCAAAAATTATATAAATACAACATATGCTAACATGCTGATTAAAAAGTAATTTCTACTCACAAACTTGTACTACTGCACCGGTGTCTTTCTCAAAGCATGCACACTGTGTGTTTACTGCATTTAGCAACCAATCAGCACATCGCACGTGTGCTTAGTTAACGAGGTCTTGCTGCTTTAATTCTTAAACGCCTGTTTGTTAATGAGTAGTGCATTGGATCGATTTCATTGAAAACAATTTTGTTTCAAATTATTACAAGAACAAAATAGACAAAAGTAGAAATTCTAATGAAAATAATAAAGTCCCAGTGAATAGAGGGCCTCTTGACGTGCTTGGAGCTGGAGCCCCAAGCAATTACTTGGTCTGCTTAAGCCTAGTGCTCCACTAATCTATCTTAGCTCAATAAATGGAAATCAATAACATTTATAACAATTAATTAAATGTATAATTGATTGTATATAATTTATACTCTTACTTATTTACTACTAAGGTCACTATTTTGTATTAATTTCGGACGTAAGTTAACACTGTGTTATTGCTCATAGTATTGTTACGACAGCGGGGGTCACGTGACGCTACTAACACGTCATATTCTCGAAGGTTCGTGAAGCCACGAGTGTTTACTAGATATGCGGTATTCATGTATATAAGACCGCCAAGAAGTGACGGCAACTATGGAATGTAATTGAACTGCAGACAGAGATAGAGACTGACAATTGAGTCGAGCACGTGAGTCGTTCGTTGTGAATTATAGCTTTTGTTATAGCGTGACTGTGGAAATTAAGTGTATTGCAAAGTTGTATTCAGAAAGAATAAACCAGTTTTATTTAAGAGAGGACTTCTATCGCTAAAGTTTCTTCGGAAAGAATTTTTACGGAAAATTAACAAACGACTAGAGACGTAACAGTATTATATTAATTGTATCGTTGTTCATTGGTGTTTTTTTTAATTATCTGGTGAAATTACTTAAACGTTCAGTCCACATAAGCTTGTACACTGTCGTATATTGTTGTAGGCCTACGTTGCAAAATATATTCAAACCTCTAACAATACTAGAATTAACGTAAAATCAACTTACTTGTACAAAATATCTCATTAAGCGCGATAGTAAACACAGATTTAAATACTTCATGAAAACACACTACCTGATTCAATGCCTTGAAATAATTCTGCAAACTCTTGACTATCTTTCAACTCCTCTACTCTTGCAACAACTATTCCCTATTCATAATCTACTTTCGAATATGTTAGAAACCCTTGTCACATGTTTAGAACTTTCCAGGTGCTTTAGGCCTATCTTATTAAACCTTTTGATGTGAACGACATTATTAAGACCAGCATCTTCGTCTAGCAAACTTTAAATTACAAATCAAGACACAGGATAGTGTATTGTGTGGCCAAAACAACCTGCAGGACACACTGTGTGTTATTATTAACGGGAATGATAGTTTAATGATTTTCAACTTTCTGTAGTAGCTCGAACTGTGATAATCCAAACAGTCACGTATTTTCAGTGGATGTGCTCTTCTGGACCCTTATTTCACATATCAAATTACAAGGCAATCCATTAAAAAGTACTCGAGATATAAAATTTCCAATTTTGATTGAATTTCATCCTATTTATTTTTTTGTTCGCATCGAAAGTACGAAAAAATTATTTGATAGAAAAACATACTTAATTTTTAAGTATTTGTTTTTCAAATTTGGTACACTGATATATCTTCACAATCTATAATTAGATGTCAAATTTAGTCCAATTATAAGCCACATGTGCAAAGTTATTCAACAAAAACCACTCAATTTTGACCAAAACTCACCTGAGCTACCTGTCTAAAATTTTTACTACAACGTTACCTAAGAGTAAAAGTGGACCATTGTTAGTTTTTGTCGTTGCGATTAAAGACGCTGGTTTAGAGAAGCAAAACTGTAGGGTGAAAGCACATGCATATTGTTGCGTCAGCGAAGTCACATGACTAGTGTGACGCCACGTTTCTAGAACTATCTTGTTCCTTCATGAATGCCCTAGC